GCTGCTTTACCCCCAAAACTTAGTTTAAATAACCACCAACGAATTTGTAAACACGAAACTGTGCGGTCACTCGGTAGTAAAAAAACCCGGCCAACACGTTTTAGTTGAAATAGTGAAAACCGCAGGTTCAGCGCTGGCTAGTGGTTAACAATTAGTGTTATTGAGCACTTGCCACATTGAATTGAAAAGGTCGGAAATGCCTTGGTTTCATTCTGCTACATTAATAGCACACTCCTGCCCCAGTGGTCGGTGAAATCATAAAAAATCCCACAATTCATCTAATTGGAAATTGAAATTGATAAAAGACGGCGGGTTCTTCAGGTGCAGTATTGAAATTTGTTCTACCAATATTGGTTCTTGAGAGGGCGGCTGGCAATGTGTAATGCGGTTCAATCCATGAATTCTTAAATGAAATGTAAATTTAGCCAGGCTGCTTTTGAAAATTGACGAAGCTCGTCCGTACGGTTACTGGAATACAGCAAATTGAAAACTCCGGTGAATATGCACTCTGGCATATCATTAATAAATTATCAGATAACTCAGGGAATATTTTTAGATAAATTGACACGAAAATTCAACGGCATCCATGCACTCGCACAAAATCTTGAGATTACCGGGCGACTCAATTAAAACCAAGTACTCTCCTTCATTAATGAACTATCAAGAATTGAATTGAGCGCCTACCCAGTCACGTTCTCACTCCTTATCATTAATGCGATTGTTCCTGGAAGGGTTGGTACGTATACTGACACGTAAAATCCAAAGGGCCAGAGATCTCGTGCTTCATTGACCTGGGGGTCCCTAATGAGTGCACACCCGAGTGCCCCCAGACAAGTGGATCATCCCTCCAACAGCGACGACGCGAGTCCAACCCTCTTTTATTCACCGCCGAGCACTAGAAACCACCGGGCTGCAAGCACCAGGTATAATCTCTACCTGGATAACAACGTCTTTCAAACTTCTCCGTGATGTATAATAATTCAAGTGGCATAATGAGTCTATTTTTCCTACATTTACTCACATATTTTCAATATTCATGAAGGCATCTAGAAAAATGATCACTTGAGAAAAATGTGAAATTAAAAGATCAATTTGATTCATATCGCCCATTTTCCCAGAGTGTAACAGTTCTTGAATCACAAACAGTTGGAGTGAATTATAATTGCCATGAGAATTGATATTTACATATCAAAAGTAGTAATGATGCTTCTTTTTTTTTCTTTGAAACTGAACTCTTGCAATAGGCAGACCAAGTTCTACGGGTAAAACTTCTAGGTGTACGCTGAAATTGCATCGGCAATGTTTTCTGGGAAAGAATGGCAATTTCCGGATGGTGGAAATCTGAGGACGACTCTGGATTGGAAAACTTTCAAGTTTCAAATGCCTTCTTCGTTTTCTCACTTGCACATTCACCTTCTAACCTCATTGTTGGGATTGTATTTTATGGGGCGTTTACGGGGTTTTACATGGCAATGTAAGTGGTTTTCCCTGTATGTATAACATATGTGCTGTAAAAATCTGATTGATGGGCGTATTTTTTTTGGTGCGAATGGTGAAAGCATCTGGCTTTAAGGGAAAAATATTTTGCTCTTTCCGGTGAGTATCTTCGAGTATGATGCTCACTTCATCCTCTCGAGGGTTGTCTGCAGGAGTCTAGCCTCTCTTACTCTATGCTCCCCTCATTATTTGCCACGAATTTGTAGTCTTAACGTGTTCACTTCTGAAAGCACCAGTGGAGAAACGCCAAGAGACGTACCCGCCATTGAAAAAACTTTGATCGTTATGGAAGTGGAGTATAAGAATGAGAAAAAAAGATACTTGTGTGGAATGTGGCAACAGCAATGATATAACTTGGCGAAATATTCATCCGAAGGAGGAAAAAAGAATTCGTGAATCTCAGAGACTTTCTCAAAGAGATGTTTTCAAAGATAAGTTCGTTGCAATTATATAGTTGACGAAAGAAATCCATAAAATATGAAAGAACATCCGGTATTTATGGAACTTTCATCAAATTTATAACCTCCTATGATTCATCCTCGACAGTCAACAAATAAGGCAACATCCACCGATCCCCAATAATTGATAACTGACCTGATGGCCATTACACAATTGAGAAACTGCCAATACCAGGATGAATACACCAGGATATTGTACATCCCTATCTTAATACACCATGTATATTAATTTTGATATACGCTGCACATCGACAGGATTAACCCGATGGACGTTCCTCCAAGGTACAGCTACACGTATCCGATTTCTGTATTTGCACTTTACCTTTGAATGTTGAATCTCCGCTTTCCCAATCGATTTACAACGTCGTTACGAGAATTTATCGTATGCCTATACCGGCTGCCGTTGGAGAGGGCCCCCACCGATGTGGCACACATACCGTATGCGTTAGAAAAAAATACCAGGGATTTCGCAATCTCACATCAGATGCCTCGGTTGAAATTTAACGGAGAAAGTCTTGTTTGCTCATTCAAATTAACGACATTTCAGCGATGCCATCAGCACTTTCAATAAAAACATTGCGCTTAACAGCTTTTTTTTTTAACGACAATCATGCAAATGCTTTTCTTTAGAATTTTCTCCGCTTCATGGAACAAAGGTGAAAACTCCTGCAAAGACTGGTCTTGGTGGAATCACATTCATACGAATAAACTCGGCAACATAATCAGCAACTTTATGCAATCCTTCACATGATTCCAACAACATGAAAACCACGCTAACACACAGCAAAGACGCCCGCAAAATTTTCAACGGTGTGAGTCTATCCCGTCAAATGGATTTTCCAACCGCACAATGCGACAACCTCAGGCTTTCTGCACTAGTCGACAAATTACTACTTCAACCATTCCTCTGGCAAGCCATTGCCATCCACTAGCTTCCTGTCAACGATTTCACTATTCCCAAAATCCTTTATGGTAGACCACCGGTCACCATGGAACACCACTCTCAACCCACTGTCGTGCTTCAGGATTTAATTCCAGGGGATTTTCACCGGTTGTACGAGGGTTTGAAAAAACGAGTGCAAAGGTTCGAGCCACATAATCATCCGCACGTTCCAACTACTGTCATCCCCCTGTCAGAAAGTCAAATATCTCGCGTGTGGCTTTTCCTTGCACCACAAAGTGTTTACCAAAGCTGGGGTAATAACGTCATTTGTAAATACCCCCGTTGAGTGGGACAATATGGATATTTCCCCTGGAATTTTCCTCAAACAGCAATTAGGAGCTGTGGCACTGCACATTTAATCGGCGCAGCATGTGGGTTATTCACATGAGTTTCGTCAGGCCAAGTTCATCACTGGAGTAGAACAGGCTCTCGCTTCTATTTATGTATCTTCAATAGATGAATACTTCAGTCATTCAATTCTACTAATGCCAAGATTTAACTCCGTACATGACTAATGCTATCTTAATCAACATGAGAATGAGCTCAGTCATCTGAGACATTGCGATAACAACGCGTGCGGTTAATCATGAGATACCCCGGGATTGAATTAATCGGTTTATTCCGTCTTCTTGGCTTGCATCATATCAAACGTGGCAAGAACGTGAAATCCATTCAACTCTATTGTCACGCCGACGTTCCGGGGGTACGTCTCCTTTGTACCTCAAACCATGCCCAACCCTTGTATCGTTGGGTAATTGGCATCGTTTTTCAGGGCATACGTACGATATCTGAGAGGAGCCCGCATGCAAATTTAAACTAGAGATCTTATTAAACTCCAGCAGTTTTCGTATTTGCATATTTAAATTTCCATTTCAACGGAAAAACCGGCGAGGGTGGGGGGTGGGGTGCAAAAATGGCGTAAGAGAATTGTAGACGTGGTTGGGAAAGTAAAAGTATTATTTTTCTCGGGTTTTTTCCCCCTTCTTTCTCTTCGTCGTAGTTTTATTTCGGCACTTTTTAATCTTCCATTTTTCATGGACTCGCTTTCAGCTAGTATGTTCGGAGAAGGGCCACTGACGTCGTTAAAATTTCATCCGCGCTCCGAGCTTTTAGATTAGTTCACGTGCGTTAAAAGGTAAAAAAATTGTATTGTTTCACCCTTCTCTCACTTCCACGCAGATCCACGGCTTACGTTTTCTTTTAAAAACGAATTTTTCGCTTTCTTCAGGGGTTTTACGAGCGGTCATACTACTGGCTTGAGTTATATAAAAAAATATTGGTGGAAGACGATGCAGTAAACCCGGAGAAAATTGCTCACACATGACTTGACGACGGGAGTTTCCGAGTTAACGCACACCTCTGTGCAAAGTTATAAACGCAAAATGTGTTTACGCCTGGTGTGCTCCATGTACATGGTCCTGACACAGCAGTGGGGGATTGCAAGGGTGTGTAAGTTAGTTAGGCAGCAGGAGACACAAAGTTGCCGATGTACTGATAATGTCGGTTAATACCATGTAAATTGTAATTAATATTCCTTGTAGAGAAGTTAATTGCCACCCTTTCTCTGCGTGGTGTGACTGGGCGCTACCAAGAAACTCACACCAACTTCTCCGGAACATTCGGCAGGATATATTACCCTACCGAGAGCCATGAGATCAAACTCCATGACATCCAACAGCCCTCCATAATCTCTCTCAATTTCAAGGTCATGATTTCAACACTATCGATGTGAATAAAATAATTTTTTGTTTAGTCATCACAGAAATTTATGGCCCTCCCATGACAGTTATGTGGTGTCATATTTTTTTAAACTGTAGCTTGAGTAATCTGACACGGTTATGGCTATTGTGATGGAGTGTGACAGTTACATGAAACTTGTGTCATAAAAATGTCATAATATTGAGAAACTATGAAAATTCCGTCATAATTTCATCGTAATTGGGGGTGCGATAAACATTTTTACAACAACAATTTACAATCTTTCTTGCGACGCTATGTGCAGGTTGAAATGACGTGTCACATAATGGTTTAGATATCACATAATCGCATTGACAACTGAGAGGATAAAAATTTAAAAATAAAGTAAATTTCGAATACGATACCATTCATCCCGAGGATCAGGAAGTGTTCGATGAACCGAAATGAGATCGCTGACATATTGATTAAATGCATTATTCATCCAGCCGTCGTCAACGAGTTTTTTCACCTCGGCGGATATATTAGTCGGCAAAACAACAGGTCGCCCCATCTCCCCTGGATCCTGTTCCTTGGGTGCAGCCAATACCCCAGCACCTGGGGATTAAAAAAGAAAATCACAATCAGCTTTGTCATTACTTTTTGCCAATAGTGAAAAGCCATATTCCGACTGAACGTACCCTGCTCCGGTCCCAGTTGCTGATTCACCTCTGACTTACTCGGTGGATTACCCGGGCTCTCTCGTCTCACTGGTGCTAGTGGTAGTACAAATTCGTTGGCAATTTGTGGTGCTGCAACACCCGATGGCGCCAACACGTCCGCAGCATTACGATCCTCCGTGTAAAGAAGAAAACATACGGTCAGCCACACAGCAGCTCCCAATACAGCGACTTTAAGCCACAGTGATCGTCTACGGGGAAACGCTGCCATGATGTTACCGACTAACGAGTTTCTTGAGTTAAGACCAAATCACCCACTACTTTTTGTCTTTTTCTCTCTCGCTACAGCGTCCCCTGGAATTACTACAACTTTCCTCACTGGGTTTTGGTGTAGTTCAGGTTATCCACCAACTCCTGGTGGATCGATGCCAGCGAGAAATTTTTCCCAGCGGCCGGGTTGCCGTTACCTCAGCAACATTTTGACCGTGCGTTACTGGCACATGACCCTCGTTCCAGGCAATAAGTTCAAGGAGACGTTGGCCGCTTCGTTACTCCTCACCTCGTATTGATCTACACCGAGAATTCCTTCGACTTTCTCGAGCTGTTCTATTCCCACGTCGCGGTGATCATGGCTTGCCACGGTTATTGGACAGTGGTGACTATCACAGATGTCTCGGCATCAAGCAGATGACGCCTCTAATGAGATTGGATGATGTGAGTTGATGGTTTTGGGAAGTGGTCTGACGTGATGTGGAGGTTAGCGTGTCACCGCATGGTTTATATCTGAAACAAATCAATGATGACTATTATCAACTTTGAAATTAATCTACATTCACTATAATTTCTACAACTAGCGCGTTAATATTAATTTAATAATTAATCGGAGATGGGAGTGGGCTACGAGTACTTGAGCACCCTCTTGGCATCCATTAAAATTGTTAATATTGACCATCACGGGTACATGACTATCTCATTATCGCCTGTGGCAATGAGGCCAGAAGTGGTACGAATTTTTGAGTACCATCGACACCGTATGCATGTGCACATAGCCGGAGTTGAATGAATATGTAGTTTGGTGGTAGGGCAACTGGAGGATTACTGTTTTGGCTGCCAGGTCAGTTTCATCCGTCTCGCTTCCACTTTAATCGGTCTATATCTGTATTCGAGGGGTGCACCAGAGAGGCTGAAAACAATGCACCCGGTTATAACGATTTCATGGTAACCGCGGGCCCACTATAGATATGCGCGAATATGTACGCTGCTTGTTCAGCATAAGCAGGCTAATACAGATACTAGTTTTTGAAATATACCAACATGGATATTATTGGCCCGGCTGGGGTGGTAATGAGAGAAAGTGCAGTCGCCTGTGAATGCTGTTGATAATGCACATGCCGATATGTGAACTTCCAAGGCTGATTATGACGTAGGTTATTCAGGGGGTGGAGAAGATTATGCCAAGAGAAAATGGCAAAATGTCATAACGGGCATTTCTAGTGGTAGTGGCGCGTATGGCCTGGCTGCCATTTGTTTAATTATTTTGGAGCTCTATGATTCATTCCTTGATTATTAAAATCAATTGAGAGAATCCGTTTTAATGTCTGGGAATTTGGTTTTTCAGACTGAACAGCTGTAATCTTGGTTTCCTTAATTAGTCCAGTTAGCATTATTCAGCATTATCCAGTTTCCATAAAATATTATTGTCATTAATTTTAGAAAAGCATTATAGAGTGATTCTCATAAAATCCTCGAAATTCTCATAAAAAATTTCAATTAGACCAATTTTGATATTAATTGAAAAACTAGTTGGTAATTCTTTCGTCAATTTACATTTCTGGAATGTTTCTCACGTGCATATTACTCACGTAATGACCATCAACGTCAGGAAAAAGAAGAGGTTAAATGTTGAAATTAAAATTGCACAATGTAATTTTCGCAACGTTAATTCATTCCTGTTTGATAATTACGGAGAGTATCACCAACTAGAATTCTAATAGACTGACAGGTTAGCCACATTATCTGGTAGCTCATGCATGCACCTATATTCATCGCGCCATTTGATCTGTAATTATTATGTTTGTTTGTGTAAATGTTGGAAGGTGTAATTTAACTGTCATAACAATTGAATTGCACGGTAATCCGCTCATTCCATTAGCAAATATTAATTGTTTAAATCATCGCAGTGATAGATTAATAATGACGGTAGATTAATAATAACGTAGGGTTTTTTAAGGAATAATGTGTGATTTTCATGGAAAATTAGTTTAATTATAATTCTGCAAATTAAGAGATTGTCTTATCAAATTGCAATTGGAGTTCTTGAAATGCAGTCTTGATTAATGATTTGATGATCTTGATGTGGACGCATCGTAAAAACATTTTTGACGGATAATTGTCAATGAAACATTAAAAATTGATGGACTTTTATGGGTAATTTGAAACGTTGGAGAATGTTAATTCTCAGAGTCTCCACAGAGGCTATTTTAATTGCAACTAAACTCGACTTGTGCAATTATAATTTCACTGTTAGATTAACCTGTTCATTTAACTGCTCTATTTCTAGACCGTTTTGAACCTCATGATTATTGTAACACGTCAAGATACTATTCCGCGGAAGAAAGTCAGCTAAATTGTTTTTTTTATAGAATTTACAATTATAGCTGCAGTTGACAGCTCGTCTATTCTCTAATTCAACCGCTAAATTCGTCGAACAAATCGATGATACGAATTAAAGCTTTCGATTCCGTCGAGACGTACCTTTTTACTCGCAAAATTCTTTCCACATCCCATTTATCACCTACCCCGCAAAAAAAAACATTTATTTATGTTACATACCTTCTTTTTCATTATCAATTGATAGTTTATTAAAAGAAAACAAAAAAAAACGAATGAGCAATTGTCTCATCATTTTTTTCCATGAAATCACGGTATGATAATTGAAACAACTAAGCCGGGGAATTTATTTGTAATGAGTTCTTAATGGAAATCGAAAATACAAAAAAATTTTTATACCTCAAATTTGGTCATTATTGTGCGTTAGTCGTAATCACTGTAATCAGTCAGCTAACATGGCTGAAGATAACTTATACTTAAATACCCATAAACTATTAGTGAAATTTATAGTGAGATTTATCCCCTCGAGCCTAAAACCTACAATAATTATAAATACGCAGGTTGCAACAAAATGTGGAAAATTTGGAAGGGAGATTAATGTTTCATTGGAGGGACTCTTTTTTCGAATTATCCGTGGGCAAATATTCCAATTAAAAGCCGTATAAATAATTAAATGGAAATTGGTGGAATGGGCCAATTGCTGGGTAGTGAATGTAATACAGAGGTCGAGACACCGCATATAGTTGGTGCATATTGTTGTGCTACACGCCACTTCCAATTATCCTTTCAATCTTTCTGGCGGACCGCCACGTTCAGTGGATCATGCAGATTTGAAATCCTCTCCCAACTCCCCCTCCTCCCACCCCCGGTATATGCCGCGTTTATCCTCCTCTTGGGTCTCGTTTCCAAGTCACTTTCCCGCTGTTGGTATGCACCCAGAAATCCCTGAGATTCATGGATTCCATGTACTCTCAACGCTATTTTACCTAAAACCTAAAATATGAGGGATGCTCCCGGCTCTGAGTATTAATTTGTTTTCCAGTTTCCGGTGGAATACAAACTGAAGAGAGGGAGAATATTTCGAAACGGAATATTGTTTTTGCGGAAAAAGCACACCACTTTGAAATTACACGTGACATTTTCCCTGGAGAAAAAAGGGTCAGGGAATTTTTTAGAAAAATTAGACAGGTTGAGAATTGGTTGTGGAACTTTTCATTTTAAATTCCAGGTTTTTCTCACTGGAGGATCAGTGATTTCGATGAATATTTCATAAATTTCTATTGGAAATTGAATATTTAAATTAATTAAGACACAGTTAATAAATTCGAATCACTATTTTTTTAATAAAATCGCACGAGGAAGAATACCATCTGAACTCTATCAATATCTCCAAGAGATATAAAGCCCAGCCACGAAGACTAGAAGAACATTCACCAAAGAAAGAACCTTACAATGGTTTATTGTGAAACCATTGTTTATGTTTATACAAACTCTGAGGCGAATCCGTGGAGCCCTTCATATCGATCCATTTTTGTAATCATCATAAATCAGTTCAATATATTTCTATGAATTTAACTGGATATTCTAACAATTTCGAATTTTCTCGGTTATACTGGAGTATAAATTAATGAAGATGGTGGAAATTCAGGTAATTATTTTCCAGAATTTTTAAGCTGTTAGAAGTTTCTAGAAAATCACCTGTTTTGTAACGCTCGCCCGCGGGAAACTAGATTTTGTGGAGTTTCCACAATGGACTATAACTTTTCCGGCCGATTCGATATTAAAATGCATTCAAATTTACAACTGCAAATGCAGTAGAATTTTTATTCCAATGTTGATTATCTTACAACAGATAGATTTGCTCGTCAAATCTTGTGTAGTTTCCACAAATCATTGCAACTCGATTCCCATTTTTCCGGAGTTTAATTTAATTTCAAATTATATTATAAAATCCCCTCTCAACTTTCCTCTCTGAATATCCAAGTGAATATCCAATCGCTCGAGAATTTTTAAAAATATTTCCCGGAATTTCCCCAAATTTCCTTTGCCACACGACGTGTACTTTTGTAGTAAATACTTTTTATTTGGAGTTTTTATATTTAGTTAGAATAAATCGAATAAGATACAATAAAATACAAGCTCTGAAATCACGCGACAATAGTGTACGAAATACGCTACGTTGGATGATCGTCAAAGGAGTGTACTCTTGGCAGGTCAAGGCCCGAATGCCTAATTGTCCTCCGAGTCTGTCCATTCACGCTGTGGGGTCCTTGTTTTGGGCCCGACGTCACCAGAGGGTGTCAAACCCCTCGCCTCTTCCCATCAGTCCTCCTATTTTCCCTGGCCTCCGGTTCAATACCAAATTTCCCCGCTTTACTTTAATTATTAAATCATTAATTCCGTTGGATATCCCAATGAATCACACGAATTCTCAGTATAAAAGCAAAAATAAATCCAAAAGTTGGCACTTTCGGTTTGTTAAAAATGATAAATTTTCTTTGCAGCTTACATTGATCGTAAATTAACACCATAAATTATTCTCTCTTGGGATCTCTATATATATTTTGGCGGCGTAATTCTGTGAAACGCGTGTTCACAGTTAAGCCGAGTACGTGTACAATGCTATCGATTCCAAAAAAATGTCGAAGTATCAATTGCCGTTCTATATCAGTTTTTTTTTTTGCAGAAACAGGGATGGCAAAAATGAAGAGGAAAGGGTATCGATAGCCACTCGTTGGCGCACGCGTTTGGAGCCGAAAAGTCCTTCTCTCATGGAATCAGAACACGTATTCTACCCGCGTTATATCGAGGATATCTTTGTCACTCTCGCAAAGTGTGTCTACTCGATTTCCCTTGGCGATAAATGGAAGTGGATCGAATGCCAAAAATATCGGCTGTTTTTCTTCTATACACGCCACACGTACGCCCAGGTGTCCTTTGTGTATGACTTTAATTTTCTCGTACGTGATGGTAATGGGCCCCGGAAATGGGGTGACTTTCTGGAATAGGATTGTGCGGTAAACGGAAATTAGGGATGAACTTGTGATAAAATAAGTTGGAGATCAAACTTCTACCCTGTAAAAAATATTCCACGTGACTTCGGATTACTTTTGAAAATTTCCAGGGAAATCCAACAGATTTTCTCATCACAAAATCGTAACTTGGAAAAATTA